GTGAGCATGCACTGTATGTGAGCATGCACTGTATGTGAGCATGCACTGTATGTGAGCATGCACTGTATGTGAGCATGCACTGTATGTGAGCATGCACTGTATGTGAGCATGCACTGTATGTGAGCATGCACTGTATGTGAGCATGCACTGTATGTGAGCATGCACTGTATGTGAGCATGCACTGTATGTGAGCATGCACTGTATGTGAGCATGCACTGTATGTGAGCATGCACTGTATGTGAGCATGCACTGTATGTGAGCATGCACTGTATGTGAGCATGCACTGTATGTGAGCATGCACTGTATGTGAGCATGCACTGTATGTGAGCATGCACTGTATGTGAGCATGCACTGTATGTGAGCATGCACTGTATGTGAGCATGCACTGTATGTGAGCATGCACTGTATGTGAGCATGCACTGTATGTGAGCATGCACTGTATGTGAGCATGCACTGTATGTGAGCATGCACTGTATGTGAGCATGCACTGTATGTGAGCATGCACTGTATGTGAGCATGCACTGTATGTGAGCATGCACTGTATGTGAGCATGCACTGTATGTGAGCATGCACTGTATGTGAGCATGCACTGTATGTGAGCATGCACTGTATGTGAGCATGCACTGTATGTGAGCATGCACTGTATGTGAGCATGCACTGTATGTGAGCATGCACTGTATGTGAGCATGCACTGTATGTGAGCATGCACTGTATGTGAGCATGCACTGTATGTGAGCATGCACTGTATGTGAGCATGCACTGTATGTGAGCATGCACTGTATGTGAGCATGCACTGTATGTGAGCATGCACTGTATGTGAGCATGCACTGTATGTGAGCATGCACTGTATGTGAGCATGCACTGTATGTGAGCATGCACTGTATGTGAGCATGCACTGTATGTGAGCATGCACTGTATGTGAGCATGCACTGTATGTGAGCATGCACTGTATGTGAGCATGCACTGTATGTGAGCATGCACTGTATGTGAGCATGCACTGTATGTGAGCATGCACTGTATGTGAGCATGCACTGTATGTGAGCATGCACTGTATGTGAGCATGCACTGTATGTGAGCATGCACTGTATGTGAGCATGCACTGTATGTGAGCATGCACTGTATGTGAGCATGCACTGTATGTGAGCATGCACTGTATGTGAGCATGCACTGTATGTGAGCATGCACTGTATGTGAGCATGCACTGTATGTGAGCATGCACTGTATGTGAGCATGCACTGTATGTGAGCATGCACTGTATGTGAGCATGCACTGTATGTGAGCATGCACTGTATGTGAGCATGCACTGTATGTGAGCATGCACTGTATGTGAGCATGCACTGTATGTGAGCATGCACTGTATGTGAGCATGCACTGTATGTGAGCATGCACTGTATGTGAGCATGCACTGTATGTGAGCATGCACTGTATGTGAGCATGCACTGTATGTGAGCATGCACTGTATGTGAGCATGCACTGTATGTGAGCATGCACTGTATGTGAGCATGCACTGTATGTGAGCATGCACTGTATGTGAGCATGCACTGTATGTGAGCATGCACTGTATGTGAGCATGCACTGTATGTGAGCATGCACTGTATGTGAGCATGCACTGTATGTGAGCATGCACTGTATGTGAGCATGCACTGTATGTGAGCATGCACTGTATGTGAGCATGCACTGTATGTGAGCATGCACTGTATGTGAGCATGCACTGTATGTGAGCATGCACTGTATGTGAGCATGCACTGTATGTGAGCATGCACTGTATGTGAGCATGCACTGTATGTGAGCATGCACTGTATGTGAGCATGCACTGTATGTGAGCATGCACTGTATGTGAGCATGCACTGTATGTGAGCATGCACTGTATGTGAGCATGCACTGTATGTGAGCATGCACTGTATGTGAGCATGCACTGTATGTGAGCATGCACTGTATGTGAGCATGCACTGTATGTGAGCATGCACTGTATGTGAGCATGCACTGTATGTGAGCATGCACTGTATGTGAGCATGCACTGTATGTGAGCATGCACTGTATGTGAGCATGCACTGTATGTGAGCATGCACTGTATGTGAGCATGCACTGTATGTGAGCATGCACTGTATGTGAGCATGCACTGTATGTGAGCATGCACTGTATGTGAGCATGCACTGTATGTGAGCATGCACTGTATGTGAGCATGCACTGTATGTGAGCATGCACTGTATGTGAGCATGCACTGTATGTGAGCATGCACTGTATGTGAGCATGCACTGTATGTGAGCATGCACTGTATGTGAGCATGCACTGTATGTGAGCATGCACTGTATGTGAGCATGCACTGTATGTGAGCATGCACTGTATGTGAGCATGCACTGTATGTGAGCATGCACTGTATGTGAGCATGCACTGTATGTGAGCATGCACTGTATGTGAGCATGCACTGTATGTGAGCATGCACTGTATGTGAGCATGCACTGTATGTGAGCATGCACTGTATGTGAGCATGCACTGTATGTGAGCATGCACTGTATGTGAGCATGCACTGTATGTGAGCATGCACTGTATGTGAGCATGCACTGTATGTGAGCATGCACTGTATGTGAGCATGCACTGTATGTGAGCATGCACTGTATGTGAGCATGCACTGTATGTGAGCATGCACTGTATGTGAGCATGCACTGTATGTGAGCATGCACTGTATGTGAGCATGCACTGTATGTGAGCATGCACTGTATGTGAGCATGCACTGTATGTGAGCATGCACTGTATGTGAGCATGCACTGTATGTGAGCATGCACTGTATGTGAGCATGCACTGTATGTGAGCATGCACTGTATGTGAGCATGCACTGTATGTGAGCATGCACTGTATGTGAGCATGCACTGTATGTGAGCATGCACTGTATGTGAGCATGCACTGTATGTGAGCATGCACTGTATGTGAGCATGCACTGTATGTGAGCATGCACTGTATGTGAGCATGCACTGTATGTGAGCATGCACTGTATGTGAGCATGCACTGTATGTGAGCATGCACTGTATGTGAGCATGCACTGTATGTGAGCATGCACTGTATGTGAGCATGCACTGTATGTGAGCATGCACTGTATGTGAGCATGCACTGTATGTGAGCATGCACTGTATGTGAGCATGCACTGTATGTGAGCATGCACTGTATGTGAGCATGCACTGTATGTGAGCATGCACTGTATGTGAGCATGCACTGTATGTGAGCATGCACTGTATGTGAGCATGCACTGTATGTGAGCATGCACTGTATGTGAGCATGCACTGTATGTGAGCATGCACTGTATGTGAGCATGCACTGTATGTGAGCATGCACTGTATGTGAGCATGCACTGTATGTGAGCATGCACTGTATGTGAGCATGCACTGTATGTGAGCATGCACTGTATGTGAGCATGCACTGTATGTGAGCATGCACTGTATGTGAGCATGCACTGTATGTGAGCATGCACTGTATGTGAGCATGCACTGTATGTGAGCATGCACTGTATGTGAGCATGCACTGTATGTGAGCATGCACTGTATGTGAGCATGCACTGTATGTGAGCATGCACTGTATGTGAGCATGCACTGTATGTGAGCATGCACTGTATGTGAGCATGCACTGTATGTGAGCATGCACTGTATGTGAGCATGCACTGTATGTGAGCATGCACTGTATGTGAGCATGCACTGTATGTGAGCATGCACTGTATGTGAGCATGCACTGTATGTGAGCATGCACTGTATGTGAGCATGCACTGTATGTGAGCATGCACTGTATGTGAGCATGCACTGTATGTGAGCATGCACTGTATGTGAGCATGCACTGTATGTGAGCATGCACTGTATGTGAGCATGCACTGTATGTGAGCATGCACTGTATGTGAGCATGCACTGTATGTGAGCATGCACTGTATGTGAGCATGCACTGTATGTGAGCATGCACTGTATGTGAGCATGCACTGTATGTGAGCATGCACTGTATGTGAGCATGCACTGTATGTGAGCATGCACTGTATGTGAGCATGCACTGTATGTGAGCATGCACTGTATGTGAGCATGCACTGTATGTGAGCATGCACTGTATGTGAGCATGCACTGTATGTGAGCATGCACTGTATGTGAGCATGCACTGTATGTGAGCATGCACTGTATGTGAGCATGCACTGTATGTGAGCATGCACTGTATGTGAGCATGCACTGTATGTGAGCATGCACTGTATGTGAGCATGCACTGTATGTGAGCATGCACTGTATGTGAGTCATGCACTGTATGTGAG